GCCCTTAGCATCCTGATTGACGCAACTATATTGATAGATAATTCACCCATAATAGAAGGTCCTGAACCAAGTTTTGGTTGTGGCAACCAAATCACGCGCAACTACATTGATGCAGTTGACACATAAATTAAAAGTTATATCAACCATACACATAATTACCGCTCAAAAATAACTAGGATGATGCAGCTAGGTTGCTTACAACTAAATTTTTTTGGTTGTGTGCACTATATCTTTTTATCTTTTTTCCGCGCACGTTAATTTATTTTAGAGATAAATTATTTTCTTATTAAAATGCTCAATTATACTAAATATTTGTGTCTGAAAATAATACATAGTTGCATAAGTAATATATACATAATACATGGTTGCATACTAAAAATCTCGGGTACTCGCGAACTCATGCGTTCGCGTAAAAGAGTCACGGTGCGGTCTCGCTCCGCGCGTACTTGGCGTGAGACACTACCGTGCCTCTTGATATATTATGTAAGACTGCTAGGATATTACTATAGAGAGAAATCTGAAAAAGAAAGGGCAGCTCTTTGGTGGACAAGTCACATAGTCGCAAAATCAATTCTCTCTCAAATAATCGTCAACATTAGGATAACCGTGATGTGGCACATTCAAAAAGAGATGTTTGTCTTAATAAACGATCATAATGATCTTGAAGCAACTGCTAATAATTAGTTAAAATTGATAACTTTATCTTTATTCAGTATAACTAAAAAGTTATAAGTTTCCTTTCAATTATCGCTGTGAGATAATGGGCTACACTACCCATTTGATTTTTATATTATTAAAACAGTTTGCATTATGCGTAATCAACTATCGATTTCGTTAAAAATTAAAAATCAATTGGATTAAGTTTATATTAAATAAATAGTTAAAATTCCCACAGGAACAGTACACAATAATGGCAAGATATTTACAAGACAAGCGTTATTAACGTATTTATGATAAAAAAATATCTTTGTTTGCATTCCTGAATTATACTGTAGCATTAAAACACACCAGTAAACTCTAAGATATGGGACGTTTGTTTTTTCTTTACACGTGTTACGGTAGTGTTGTCGGCGGAAGGAAAAAAGGAGTCTCGGAATTCCATCTCGCCTTGACTCGATAAAAAGAAACAGAAATTCACATATAGAGGAAGGTTGTTCATACACACGTTAAGATGCGTACAATATTCGCACGTCGCACTTATAATATATTCAATGCTATCAATAAAACGCGAACACTATTAGAAACGAAGGAAATAAGTAGCGAATCGTTCAATCATAATATGCCGAGATGCATTATTCAAACATTTTAAAACGGGATTTTAAAATTAATAATCTAATTTTAGTCTTGACGACTAAATTACTAAATGACTAAACTTATTGTTATCCCGTGAGCATCCTAATGATAATAATTGCCAACATTGAGCAATTTGGTAATAATATTTTGGTAAACTAAAAATAATTTTCTTAATTTCTGTCATAATTTTTCAATTTAAATTGATTTTTTAAATTTAATTTGATGAGTATTATAATATCTTCAAGTCTTAAGCGCATTTCTTAATATTCTGTACAGTAATGGATCAAATCGATTATAACGTAAGTGCTACGATTCGTGGCAATGTCGAATAAAGATTCGTAAGTTTTATTATATTTTTTTTTGTTTTAATTTATCTCGTTCGTTTTTTAAAGTTTTCTAAATGTAGTTTGTTACGTTATTTTGTAAATTCCTTTATGTATTAAAATTTTTGAAAATGTTTTTTTAAGGTTCGGGCCTTATTATACTACCATATTTTAATAAAGCCCAAAGTAGACTTTTTTTAAATTTGTGTCTATAAAATGCTTATTTGAGAAAGAATTATCGATATGTATGTTTTTTTATTTAGAATAAAATAAAGTTTAATACAGTTTAATACCTACAAGGCCTTTTTATTATAATTTATTAATTAACTACAATAATTCATTTTTAAATAAGGTAGACCTTATTTGCCTCCAGTACTTTATAATAACATTGAGATCCTATTAATTTGTGCGAGAATAGCTAATGAAACTTACATAAGAGGTCAAAAACGGCGGCGACCGTGGCAATAAACTTGTATTCTTTCGTAGTAGTCTAACCATCCAATCTGTGCGAAGATATGTTATAGACAGAGAGGATTGTTTCTTACACAAGAATACATTTATTTGCACGAATATAGAAAACGGGCTAACTAAGTACCAGGCGCGGTAAATAATGCGCGAAAGTTTTATTTTTGTTTCTATTTTACATATCTTCCAACCTTGACTGCGCGCCAATTAAATTTTTCAGACTTGAAACACATTTATTGTTTATAACTATATCGAATGGTAGAAAGCTCCTTCAGAATGTCAAAATAGACTTCCGTCAATAGTACAATGTCATTGTTAGAGTTAATTCCGTTAGATTTCTCTTTGATATGTATCATTTAAGAGATCAGTCTCTTTTGATAATTATGATCATGATCTAAAATACAAGTATTCTCCTAGTCAAATGAATAATTGTATTGTATAATATGTTTAGACTTTCAGACCACTGAATTGATTATTTAATATTTTTTATATATTACGTGGTAATGCATATCTTACAATTAGATATAGATTTTGCAAGAGTTGAAGCAATGATGAATCATATAATGGTTAATGTATTCTTTTTTTTAAAAGAACTTATTTAATAAATTTATTATCGTATATATATAAGTAGGTAATTCTATTCTATGTATAATAGTAATGTGGAAATTCGTTACGGAATTTGTAAGAAATTTTAAGATCGGTAGGTTGATATAAATTGTGAACTGTCAAATATTTTACAAAAAAATTTAAATAATATTTTTGTATAATAAGCTTATTTATATACAAATGTATTAAGACATGTTCTTGGTGTATAAAGTAAAGGCAAATATTTATTTTGAATCAGAATTAATATAAGCATAATTTATAGACATAATTATATATATATTTTTTTTACATTTTAATATGTAAATTCACCCTCTGAAGTATATCAACATGCATTATTTATATAAATCGTTCTTAATATAATAAAATATGCTGCCGTTATAAGCATCTATTACTCGAATTACACGGTACATTTTTATGAATATTACATAGAAGAGTTAAGCACATAAAAAAAGATTACTAGTTTTTGAATAATACTTTAAAAATTTTAGTCGAGTAAAAATAAAACCGTGCAAAAAAGATTAATGCTCTGGGTATTAATAATAATTAAATATTCTAAATTTATCGTAAAGAAACATTCAATTTTTAATACTTGGACTTATTATCTATTATATCATACTATATGTATATAGCAATAAAAGCTATTTTTTATTAATTTACCGTTTAATTTATTAGTACACTGTAAACAGCTTTCGCGATTCACACTTCATCATGTCAAGACTCACTCACCTTATCACACTATTCTGCCTGACTTTTTATGTGTCTCCAGCAATCAACAATTTCAGCAAGCGCTGACACTTGTACGTCGTCGCTCGCACTGCCAACGACTGTCGAAATGAAATAATTCCGGTTCCCTTTCACTCGTACATATCTTTACCCGAACACTGATTTCACTCAGCAGTTTCTTTCTGAAGGCACGAATTCGTTAATTTGTTTTGTCTCTTTTACTTTGTGTCTTTTCTTTTCTTCTCTTGATATTTTCTTTCCAGTTATTCCGGTTATGTCCTAACTCTTCTTTTTCGACGAAATTCAGACAACTTAGCAATGCGATTTTTGTGGCGAGATTTTAACGTCTGGTCATCAGCGGGCTGGTTACTAAAAGAGAATGCTTCCTTCGGTTGATACTACATGTACTCTTATATAGAACCGACCACGAGAAATTGTTTGCGTTGTCCCCTATACCGCCACCACTATTAGCTCTGCAACTCTGCGTCACTTTGTCGAGCGCTATTTGCCCTTCATTAACGTTTTCTGGGATCACCGACGCGCGAGCATGATTTAGAACTTTTTCCCAGACCTTCCGCATAACTTTCGCAGGAACGGCTAGTATATATCATTCATATTTCCCAAATCGTCCAGTTTTATGATTAATTCTTTTATTTCATAGTACTATTAGACTGTTATAGTAATTATTTACCATAAAATTATAACAGTGGTAAATTGTTTTAATATATAACTTTAAGTTATAACAAAAGTTTTATATCTTTGTTTTAGTAATAATAACACTATATTTTGGCCAACACATTAAGGCGCAAATACAAAAAAAATAATTATTTTTACATTACAAGAGATAATTTTTTATTACAATTTTGAATTAGGTACATAAATTTTGTTACATCAATTTTGGCTCCCATGAAGTTATTCCAAATTATTTGTATACGTTCCCAGACAGCACGCATGTCTAAAAGATGCTTGAAAATATGTCTTTACGTGCTGTTTAAGTTGCGAGATCAATTTGATAAATCTTAAAGATTAATTGAACAATCACGGGTTGAAGTAAAATATTGGAAAGAAATTCAATTAATCGCACATAGAATTGTGAATCAGGATTCGGTTATAATGTTATAATTTTACACAGCGAATAGAACAACTAAGCAACCTTGAAAATAATTACTGTTTTATAAAGTAGCCTTTTCCTTCAGTGCGTACATCTTACAAAGTTCTTTTCTCTAATTTTATCTCTCCTTTATACGATATGAGAGAAATGATTGAGAAGAACATATTCTTATACAATTATATACGAATCAACCGTATAACCGTGAATACTTACTAAGAGAAAATAGATTTGGAAAATAAGATGCAACACTATGAGCGCATTAGATTAAAATTGTGTATTATACATATTTATTTCAATTATATTTCGGTTATATTTCCATTATCTAGAATGTGATGTAGGTATATAAAATATTAATAAGTGTTGTAATTATAAGATATAAAGAGAAACATTTTTACGTCGCATAAAGTTACCAACTGATTTTATTTAGCATTCTTAAAAATTTTAGAATATGGTAATCTCATGTCAACGCATGTTTGATTTGCCTACAAAAGTCTGATATCGTAATTATACTTATATTGTAACAATAAGGAGTAACTGTACATTGCGTAAGAAGAATTTATCACCGAGATTGGTTTTCCCTAGAGGCCTAGATTTGTAATAACGAACGCAATCTTCCTTAGGAAATAAGATGGGAAAAGTTTGATGGGAATTATTGCCAACAATAATCAGAATTCTACGTCAGTGTTACATTTTGCTGCGTTAGTTTCTCTGAAACAATCTTTTTTTTTATATAAAGTTTTTCTATGTCGAAGTTTGACGATAATATACGATAATATATATGTATAAATACATATAAATGACTAAATAATTGGATAACGTGATAAAAAACAATTAATATATTATATTCTTCCTATGTAAAAATGCCAAAAATGGATAAAATTACATTATTGCTGTGATTAATCATCTAGTTTGCAAGCTCGTGCTGATGTGATGAAAAGGGGAGAATCCGACATAATGAGATAACATTCATTTTCCTATTGCACCACAATCTTCCTATTGCTACAATAGATGCAATCAATAATAATCTTTATAATGTCGGAGGAACTCTATAGAGATTTAATACTGGCTCTTATATTAATATATAAGAATGTATACTTTATCCTAGTAATATAGATTCTAAAATTTAGATGATATTTTTTATTATTATACGCAAAAATTTTTTATCGGATATGTTCTTCCGCTTAGTACATATATGTAATCTTTATATGTTTTGAGAATTAATTAATTTTTATTTACTCAATCGAATATATTTTTATAATACAAGACGCAAAGTCTGATCAATAATAAATATATTGTAATATAGTTACGATAAGATAGAGATGCAGAATGACAGAGATATACGGTTAGAGAGAATAGGTAAAAGCTAAACTAGAATTTTGACAAAGAATGTCGGATCGCACATCATAGATATTAATCAAAAACATAATACCTCTAAAAACATATCTTTTCTCTTATTTTGCTGCTCATACAAAGAATTTTGGAAGAAAAATGCAGTAACTTTCAACACTCGAAAAACTAAGCAAACTTGTGAGTTTCGCAATAATGCGTTAATAATTAATAATTTTTACAACAGAATCATTATCTTAAAAAATTCACTGTATTCAAGAGGAAAGCGGGTAGAACTCAAGGTCTATGCTTACTTTCATGTTGCATAAAACCTCGTCCTCAATTTTTTAATGCGGTTTGCAATAGCAATACGTAAAATTTATCTTGCCTATGGCTAATGGTTATTTTAATTTTATATTGTAACAATTTAATTATATATATTTCGACTTAAATTTATATTTTTATATTATATAATGTATGTATGTATGTATATATATATACATATACATGTCTATTTTAAAATATTACTATTATTATAATTGTTTACATTATTAATTCTAAATCACGATTTAACGAATTATGTATAAAATTTTTAATTTAATTTTATCAGAAGTTATAAATAGAAAAATTTTAGCAAATTATATATTTTCATCAAGACACTTTCCTATAATGATTCAGCGCGCGGTATTTGTAAACCACATTACATTTTTAAAGCAATCCTAATGCAATGACTCTTAGTCAACTTTCAGTCCAGTCAGTCTGAGTATTTCCCAATAACACATGCTGATTGAGTTGATTCTTAGAGTATCCATTATGTGCTCATCTATGAATGGCGAGTATGTATTCCGAAGGAAACATGCATGCTCTGTATATTAGCTTTGTACGGTGCATGCAATGAAACGAGAATAGTTAAGCATATTATTGAACGCTTGTAAATTACCGTGATCATATCCGCAGGCCATTCACCTTGAGATTACTAAATTAGTCTGATGTAGTAAGAACGCGCGTATAGTTAAAGTTAGTTTTGTGTAATCTGACACGCAATTTTTATTTTATTAGAGAGGGATTAACTTAAATGAAAAATGAATAACTTTTTATGAATTTGTAAATTTCAAGATTGTTAATAAATTACAAAATATTATTCAGCCAATTTCAAAAATAAAAGTACAATACATATACTGAAGATTAAAAAGTTACTATAGAAAGTATATTATTTCTCTCTCTTTCTCTCTTTTTCTATTTCTCTATTTATTTATCTATCTATTTGTTTATTTATCTCTCTTATGATATATATACGAACACTGAGATAGTCATTCTTTTTAATTATCATGATACTTTGTGTTCTAAGTACAGAATTCATGTTTTATTTATACCTGTAATCTATATAACCGGTTCTTATGAGTTTAATATGCCACGTGGAAATAAATAACAGTTAATTAAAGGTCAAATGAGAAGACATTTACATGTTTTCAAATCGTCCTAATATGTTTAGACAAGAAAATGATGAAGATAAGAGTAATTTTAGTAACAAGGTTAGCCTCATGATCTTAGTCCATTACTTTGTATATGAAAGTATAGTTATTTGTGTAACAAGTGAGGTAAGATGGGCGAGTGCGGTAACCGCACCCGGGAATTTTTATCTTTATACACGGCTTACACTCCCTATTTTATGTTGCAAGTGCCTGGAAAGTGGTCTATCACGCACGCGTAGCGTAATGGGGCACTTTCCATGCACGTGTTGCATAAATGGATATTTCATTGATATTGAGTATTGAACAGAGTGTTTGATCTATATATTTAAGTGTTATATTGCTTGTGTATACAGGTGCGTAAATGCATAAGTATTCATGATTATTTTTTTTTCTTCTTTGTCCCTCCGTCTGTTCTGATTTTCCTAAGGTTTTCCTGGTTCTCATGAGTTTGATATGCCACATTAAAAATAAAATAAATTAATGAAAATACATGAGAAGTCATTTACATGTTTTAAAATCACTCTAATACGTCTAGATGAACAAGAAAATCATACAGATAAGAGTAATTTTTTGTTAGCAACAAGGTTAGCAATCAATCTCATGATCTTATTCTGTCATTTCATCTGTCGTATTCTCAGGCGGCTTTTCTAAAATACCTTTAGTTGTTTTATTGCGCGCAGTTAATTCATCGCTATTAAATACTATAACGTCATGTCATCTTACGCGTTTAACCATGCTATTCATTGCTTAACTACTATATCAACAACGTGAGCATATACATATGTATGCATCGACCAAGCATTCATACATTTTCACTAAAGAAATAGATAAAGTTAAAAATTGCCAAAGAGAGACAGTTCACTTCTTTAGTATCTTTTTCATTATATCCAACAGCAAGAAAATATCGTTTTATTTACTATAATTGCAAGACTGTTAGCATACAAAATAAATAAAAATTAATTTTGCTCAAACCTATCGTTTGATTGCGCTAAAATCTGGGAGAGAGAAGACTGCATTACAAGATTAATTATAGCAAACAATTTTAATACATTTGTATACTTTTACGTAATATTATACATATAAACATTAAAATTAAATAAAATTAAAATTAAAATTAATATTTATTATTAATATTTGTGTATTAATATTCATTATTATATTATTATTATTTTAAGTCTGTATTACTTTGTATATGAAAATAATGGATGTCTTGTTGATATTGAATATTAAACAAACAGAAAGTTGTTTGGTCTCTATCAATTCAAATGTCAAATGCAATTACATTGCATGTATACAGGTGCGCTTATACATAAATATTCATGATTATAAATCAATCTAAGAAAAATGGAGCGTCGAGCCGTAACAAGGTGTTGGTGTTTATACATTCTGTACTTTGTAGTAATCTCACTTCAAGTAAACAAACTGTACATATACATATATTCCAACTTAATAGACTGCGCGCCGCATGGGAGGTTCCAGCTTCGAATCCTGGCTGAAGTAATATTTTTCGCAATAAATTCTTTAAAGTTTTTTAAACAATTAAATCGGGTCGATTTAATTCCGGTGAAGGGAAGGATATTAATGTTCCAAGATAACTGTGTTACTCTCGGTGTTACTTCTTTACTGAAAGTATAGAATGTATGAATACCAACACCTTGTTACAGCTCGACGCTCCATTTTTCTTAGATTAATTTGTAATCATGTGAGCCTTTATTATTATATTCATAATTATACTCTCTCTTTATCTCTCTGTTTTCTCTCTCCATCTCTGGCTTTCTGATTGAGAAAGTGTATCACGCTTTCTGCATGGTGATGCATTCGCGCGGATTGCCTACTAGGACCGATTATCTTAAGCGGTTGCGACAACGTGCATTGGATGGATTTTTCGCGTGTTACGCAATCTTGATTGACTGTTTGATTGCGTCAAGTGGCCAGAACAATAGCTCGTATCTATCCATCTATTCAGCCAGGCATAACCCCAGGCATTTTACCATCTTAATCTGTCACATCCGCGGTAACCTTACCCTCTATTGTACCTACGGTGTACGTATTTCGTACGGTATTACCACGCGCCGGAAATTATGCGTAGTGTTCCACAATTGCAACAACACTTTAAAAGTTTTGTTTGCGTAAGCATAAATTCTAAAGATTAATTAGAAAATAAAAAGATACAATAGTTTCTGATTATAGTGATCAAAGAGCTCGTCAGTGCTATTGTTCGCGCATGTATTCATTAAGTTTGCGCTCAAATCTGCTAATTAAACTTATATGTGATTACAAATTTATTATTTATTATCGATTTTTACAACTTAAATAATATCAATTTTTTGTTTATTGGCAGCTGATTTTTTTTTGCTTTCAATTGGTATTACGTATACATTATAGCGTAATTTAGCTGATGATAAAAAGTTAATTAAAATAAACTTTAACCGTTACATGAAAATTATTTAAACTTTTATTTTTTTAATAAAAAAATGGTTGATTTAAGTAATCACTCACCTTACTTTAAAAAGATGATTAAATTTGATGTTAAATAAATGTTAATATTAATAATACCTCACTACCAAGCGGAATAAAAAATATACGCCCTCAGGCTAAAACTATTTTTTGACTAGTTGCTGTATTTTATTGCCGATTCTTAGAGCGATATTCATAGTCAGATCTAAGATCGTCTCAAGTTTATCTCCAGATGCTGTCGGAGAATAATAAACGAATTGTAAGACTGAATCAGTCAAGTAATAAAAAACCTGATACAATGATCGTTTATTAATAATTAATTAAAAACATGAAAAATAGCATCACACATGTGCAGCGAACTAAACGAGTTCACGGACGTATAGAGAACGGAAATCACGGACAATTGGACCTGGCTAACAACGCAACCGACATGAGGTTTGTGCGAAGATCCGGAACGTGTAAGGTATTTTTCAAGTAAATATTCCTTGTTCCACCTTGTACGTTTGTCGTGAAAGATACTGTTCCCTTTGCCGCAATTCGTGTCGATGCGTTGTTAGCCAGGTTCAATCGTCCGTGATTTCCGTTCTCTACGTCCGTGAACTCGTTTAGTTTGCTGCACATGTGTGATGTCGCGCCGCTGGCGCTGTCCAGGCACCACTTCGCGTTACCGCTCGATTCCTTGGCACGCATGGCGTTTTGTTCGCGCGACGATTCGAGACCGGCATACAGACTCACATCCTCCACTTTCTTCGCAGACTGTGCATCGCTGCTACGTCCCTGTCTACATTCAGCGGCCTTGTGTCCGTATTTTCGGCATCGATGACATTGGAATTTGAATTCCTTCTTTAGTATTGGATTTGTCGCCTTCCGTCGTCTTCTTCTTCTGATTCCGACGTTTCGCATTGCCTTTGTTTGCGATCATGGCATTTTGGGCGTTTGCTCGTGCGTCAGATGGACGTCGATATTAACCTAGATTTACTAGCGATTATGTTGTTGTACAGCCTGCCACCAAGCTTTGAAAATTTTCGATGCGCAATCGAATCTCGAGACGAGTTGCCGTCACCAGAAGTGCTCCGCATCAAAATCATCGAGAAGAGTGACGCTCGGAAGAACGACCGTCCTACGGCCCCGGTCACGGGGCACGTTGTCACAAGCAACCAGTCGTTATTTATTGTTATGTAACAACTGTAGAGTAACAATCACACAAAATTCGATACTGTCCAATTGAAGCTGAGGGTTCACTCGAAATTTTGGCATATCAAAGTACTCTTAAATATTGAATGTAAAAAATACAAAAAATATTGAAACAAATGTGTGACAACGTGCCCCGGTCTACCCTACTTATACTATGCATCGATTTTATTCTAATCTTTCATAGTCTATATAATTGATTGATAATTTGGTTTTATGTCAATAAAATAAAATGACGTGAGATCCAATGAGTATTTTATCGTAGAACAAAAAAATTATAGAATTATAGAAATCTTAAAATTGTAAATATGTTTTAAAACATGAATTTTTTGCCATGTTACTTCTAATTGATGTTAATCGTTTTGTGTTAAAAAAAATACGAGTTTTGTATTAAAGAAGTAAATTTACGCATTTATCTCGCATTAGTATACCGAATTATCGCTAAATTAATTATGTAAATTACGCGAAATTCGAAATCGATAAAACGCGTACGATAACACGAAATTGATTGAGTTAAATGTTTGATTAAATTGTTTGTCCTTAAAAATTTTTTTTAAATTAAATTTTTATATAGTTTGAATATTATAAAGTCACATTAAATTTGGGTAATTTTAATTTAAAGTTCGATATTTAGAATTATCGCCAACTTTTATATACGTCTAATATAAAAATTATCGCCAATTTTTATATACCTTTAATATAAAAATTTATTAAATAAGATAGTGAAGACGGCTTTGTGTGAACTAACGGTTAAGTATTAAATTCTTATTGATGAAATTAACGTTTGCGTTTTAGTAATACGGGAGTATATTTTGATTAGTAATATATTGATAAAATTATTGCAAAATTTATCATTTATTATAGAAATGAGAATTCTTGAAATAATTTTATTTTATTTTCTGTGAAACATTATCTTGAATTTTGCAACATGTTAAATATTTATTAACGGATATTGCTAAGTTGTATCTCGCGTTAAATATTTATTAGAGACAATTGGGACACCTTGTTCTTTCCTTGTTGATTGCGATCACTGTCTCGACGAGGGGACATTATCGCTCTCGCGTCAAGTGGGAGTTAGCGAACTCGTTCCGGTAAGAAGTTGAAACGATGTTCAATGTAGAGGATTATTCCTCGTCGATATCCATCGAGATCTATTCGCGAAATCTAGTTTAGTGCCAAAGAAATAGAAACTTGAAAGTTGAGACCCTGTTGACTCTATTACAGGACCGAAATTAAGCCCGGATTTTGTCGATATAGTTTCCGGGACCAATGGTTTTGGCAATAAGTCAACAGCGACTACTATACACGTTTTAAACTCGAACCGCATCGCGCATATTAATTAAATAGTATATTTTGAGAAAAAAATTGTTTCTCCATTTTGTTGAATGTTCTTTTATTGGTATTAATATTTCAGTATTAATACCTATTATATTAATGATAATAAAGTACATTTTTAAAAATTAATCTTCGACAAAGACTGTAGCAAAGATGTATATTTTATTTTTTAACTTTTTTTATTTCTTTCAAGAAATCATTTTTACTGAACATCCTGCCACTCGAAGATGTTCTAGAGGCTATTAGGATTAATTTAGTATAATAATTTATATTATTCTATATAGTAAAAGACATGCGCATGTCATAAGATCCAATTTAACAAATTTTGATTTTTATTAATTTCGCATATAAGTTATAATAAAGCACATGTATTTTATTATTAAATATATTTTCCTTCGTATTATATATATAACCACTTCTCCATAAAAATTATTTAATCTATGTACATTTTTCAATAAAAAAAGATAATTTTGAACAATGACAGAACGTATCTTTTGCGCGCGAATGTTAATATCTATAACTTATACGAAAATGCGGTTAGGTGCACACAACTGGATTAACGGGAGATTCTCTGCGATCCTATTGTCTTGTGCGATTTGCCGCTCGTGACTCTCTCGACTCTCCGTCTCACGTGAACACGATACATACACGACGGGTTGTCAGTCATCCTCGCCTTACCGTTTACTCGCGCAATCGCCTGTTAATTATTAGTCGCGGTGTAATTACGTGCGTCATATGTTGCAAGCTGGTTTAGAGAAGGAAGGAAAAAACTTACCTAGACACCTGTAATTGGTATACAAAGTTATAAGTTTACGAACAAATAAGATTCCGTTAATAACACGTTTCGTCATGAATGTGTTTTTTATCGCATACGATTTTGCGCGGGTATTCCTTAACGATGAATAGTGACCGTAAATTATCGTGAAAATATATATTTGATAATTGCATAATAATTATATGCAAAGATGTGATAAAAATAATAAAAACGGTTTTTGATTCGCTGTCAAAATCATTGCTATCGGAGCTGTCTGGAAGAGGCGGAATTTGTTTTTTTTTTCTATAGCAGGACTGGGGTAACGTTCGATTCGTCGATCGTTTAATTTTCCTTCACGGATTGATATCGCAAAACCTGACGAGAAGCAGAGCACATTCACTATTTGCTTTTTGAAGCTCGTTCATCTCTGTATTGGATACTAACCAGTGTACCACTTGGCGGAAGGGCTTTGATCTGGTCAAATCGTTGAGCCAGTTATTCCAGCTATTTCCTTACTTGCGGTTATTTTTTGCGATTCTTTAAAATCCATAAAATTTTAGAAAATAAAGCCTTAAAAAGTAATGCTGACATTTTTACGCGTATAAACGCGTATAAGGATGGATGGTTCCGTTTGTTGATACATTATCGAGAGAAATCGAATATAGATGCACTTCCAAAAAATGCTGTGGAATCATATTTATTGTTATATAAAGCAATAATAATTACGAGGAACTCACATTGCATCGAGTCCAATAAATAAATTGTGATAAATTTAAATACTGACTAAAATCTTTTTATATATATTATAAAGAATATTTTATTTTATTATGATTAATTAGATTATCGATATGTTATTTATGACTAGAAAACATGTTCACAAAGAAACAAGATAAGAATGTGCTTTTGTATACGCTCTATTATTTTAAAGCAAATTTCTATTTTCCGCTAGAGAAGCGCTCGTTTTATTTACTATTTATGCGACTCATTATTCTCGACGCATTCGCTTTAAACGCTTTTCTCAGATATAGTGCTTCTATCGCTGCCTCTCCTTTGTGGAGTACGCAACGCTCGCTGATTACGGGTTATGGTCGTAGGTAATTCTCTGTCGTTACTCATTCTCCTCAAGCTGATATCTCTATCCAAGTGATTTTTATTCTTGGCACATTTTGGTCCCCGTACGTTCGCGTAGATAACGTAAACGGCGAGAATTCCCAACAGAAACATCGCGATTCCTATGCCGCTTACCGTCCATACCTGTAACGTGGAAGCTTATGTTACGTTTCTGAAATCCCGGCTTTTCGGAAATGTGTAAATAAAAATTTAAGAAAATTTTAAAGTTTCCAAACAATTTCTTACTTTTTACCAATAATTTTTTTTATAGTCCTCGTTAAGACAAATATTAACTATACGAGAAACTACGATATTCTAAGAAATATAATTTTTGAGAAATTATAGTGTACCTGCAAGAGCAAAAGATAAATTTTTTGATAACTTTGAAACTTTCTTTAAATATCTGATCTGTTACAAAAGCAATGACATTGATTTATAATGTTAGTATGTAAAGTTTTAAACAGTTAGTTTTTTTTTAAATCAAACTCGAAAATTATTTAAAATAATATATCAAAAGACGTCACCATTGTCCACCACTCGTTATCGTCCATCCCCGAAACTAAGATCTGTGTCGCCTCTTTATTTTTTTCGTTCAGCATCTCAATCTCTTTGACGGCTATAGCGCATCCTGACCGCGGTTCATTCTCTCCTTTCAGAAGTTCTCTAAACATGCGTGACACATCGCCGTTGTCTTCTGGCGTTCTGTGATTTTTCTCAGTTTCCTCCGTAACGTCCTTTTCTTTTTCGTCCGCTTTGCTGTCACCCCAATAAACTTGCGTTCTATTCTGGCGAACTATTATGCCACCCAGTCGCTCTAGATTACTAGTCTTCTTTTTCATAGACAGATCGAGGAATTTCGGTGCCGCTTCCGATTTCACGTTGTGCGTCATTAATACGTTCGACACCATGTGATCCCAGTCCAAAGAGTTTATTTGATTTTTGCACTTTTTGTTTTTACTGTAATGTAATTGATGATTTAATCTTGCGCGAAGTTAAGGCTATTTCAGCCTTTAGTTATTAATAAGATAGATATGTACATAATTAAATAGGCATAAGATGTTTTGGCTCAGCTTTGAGCCATATTCAGCGATGCAATAACAGTTAAGTCCCGTATTAAAAATTATATTAAAATTTAAAAAAAGGTAATATTTATATAAGTTATAATATTATGTGAATCTCTCTTTCTCTTTCTCGCGCGCGCGCGCGCGCGCGCGTGTGTGTGTGTACGCGTGCGTGCGCGCGCGCGTGTGAATGGAATATAATATTCTATTCTCATGTATATAATGCCTCATAAATTACAATATTATCTAATCATACAAAGCTATATAATGGATTAGTTTGCGATTACTTAGTTATCTATACAATTAGCTACAAGTCTGTCTGATAGTTCGATTAATTACGCTAGCAAAGCTATTAAATCAATTTTTATCCTTAGAACGTACGCTTTGATATATAAGATAATTACCATCGATCAATAGACATTTTTCAATGCTCACCATATTGCTTTTAAAGCTTTCACGTAAATTTCTATAGCATTTTCTAGCCATCTGACTTGCTTCAATTCTTTGGCGTCATAATTTCCAAAACCGTTATTAGGCGCCCACCATCGCGAATTCTTGACTCTCCACTCGAGATTGTTAATTACATTTCTATAAGAAAAGAACTTGATATGGAATATCTATTATATTTGAAAATTAAAGTTATTGAGGTAAAAGTATTGTTAACATTAAATGTTATTAATAGAAGATCTATATTTGTAAAATTAAATCCGTAGATTTGTAATCATGAATCTGACGTGAATTACACATCTACATTATACATCTAAAGCGAGCTTTAAATATATATCGCTTATTATATTAAACGCTTGTGTCGCTTGTTACAGTAATTGGTATTGCTATATTATAAACCTACGAAATAACTTTTATTTATTCTATTTCTTAATTTTCAAGTAATCATTAACATTAATACGCAAGAAAGTAAATTACGAATGCAACAAATGCGTACATATCTAAGTGCATTAATATATTCTAAAACGAGAGCAAAAATAATACTAAATTATTACATCATATATTGACGTAAATGTTTTTGTGTATGTCTCTTTCGTCTCGTGCATAGTATGCATGCGAAAAAGTAGATATTCGTAAATATATTTTTTTTCTTTTAATTTAGGGGCATTAAAAACACGAGTTTCGTGCACAGTTTTAATTCCTCGACTCTTCACGTTCCGAAAGAAATGGTAAAGGAATTATGAAAATATGAAGATATAGAAAAATTTACAAAGACGAAATGAAAATTCGTGTGCATCTTCTAAAAAACACTTAACAGTAAAACATTGTCATAAGTAAACGTAGAAAAATATTTGAAGAAAATAAAATTAATTTAGATAACGCGAATGAGTTTTATTCGAATGAAAATGAGTTTTAATTACGAATTCGCTAGATGACATAAATTTTAATACTCTCAATATTCTTTCACTGTAAAAGTATAGAGCGTACGCGGCAAATTCACAGAAAATAACAAGATTTCTCTGCGTTGATTTAAGGATGGCCTCGACGCGGCTGTTATTCCGGAGAGTGAAACGTTGAAGTGTTGGAAAAAAAGCAAGGGTATCAGCAATTCACCGCGATTCATCTAGGATCCTTAACCTCGATTGAGTCCGACACATTCGACGGAAGTAGAAATCGTGATTTCAGACGTTTATTTACACATGGTATTTTAGTCGCATGGTATTTCAATCGCGGCACGTCATACGATTGGTGTAAAATTATTTCATCACGCAAATGTAGTTAACGTTACTGACGGTTGAAGTAATAGTGAGGTCGATAATGATAACGAGACATATGCGCATTTTTTAATGAGAGAATTCCGCAACACTTCTGTTAACAATGAAATATTACGATGCGATGGATAGAATGTTATTGAAGAAAAATAAATTGAATTTCATCAATTACGTGTAATAATAAGGTACTTCAGTTGCGATAAAATCCATTGTAATTTATGGAGGATAACCATTTCATTACTCTGCTTCTAAGTAATCACGATCAATAATTCATTAACATTGTGTACGTAACTTCGCCAAACGGTTTGTGATTAATAATAAAATGGTAGCGAGATGGATAGTTGTCTTTATTTATAGCCACTTTGAGAACTGTTTATTATGAAGATTATAGTCATTAAAGATATGAATAAATATGAAATTACATAATAAATATGAAATTACATATTAGATAATCTTATCGATATTATACGATTCAATTTATAGTTTAAACAGATCGAAAAGATTTTTTTTTCCTTTAATTGTAATAACTGTATGAATATTGAATTGATATACTTTATTAAAAATTTACTATAATAAGAAATTTTCATCAATAAATAAATTATATATATATTTTTTTAATTGAGTAGATCAAAGTGTGTAAAATTTGCAAATAAATTTTGTAAAATCTGTTTGTAGTTACCTAGAATCTTCTAAAAGCAGTATGGTGTTACTTGAATTCATACGATTCAAATAGTCTTTTAAATTTCCCTCGCTGATAATTAATATGGTCGCATTTTTAGGCTCATTAAAGAACTTTTCTTCTGGTTTTCCAATATGTATGATATGTGACGTATAATCTATATATGTATAAGCATCAAAATTAAATTAATTGAGCATCTAATAAATTTATGGTATCTATGTATGAATATCTGCTGAAGTTTAAATAATATAATTATTATGTGTGAAATATCAAAACATATTGGTAAAATGCGATTTATAAAACTTTTATAATCGCATCAATAAGACAACATTATGTTATACCTATAGGCATGTAAATATGTGACATTTTAATCTCGCGACATTTTAAAAAATGTAAAAATTATTCTTGACTTGACATTTAATTATTAAAACTGTCGTTTCTGACTTACATTTTGTTATTAAAAAATATTACGTTAAAAATGAAACTTTTTACACAAAGAAAATAAGAACGTAATTTTAATTACCTTCTTCGTTGTTATCGTGAATTATAACACATAAGTTATTTGCTATGGCATTTATCGTTAATTTTTTTGCAATATTTTGTACGTCATCATCGTTTTCATCATTAACATTAGCTACTAATGTGAAGGATTTCCACTTTAAGATCTTTATCATTTTCAAGATTCCCTACAACAGAGATAATACGTGTTTAATAATAGCGTGAATAGAAAAGTAGTAGAATAGAAAAAGTTATTTTATATAATTTTATTTTTATTTATTGGAAAACATAACGAACAATATATCGAATTAGATAATATTTTCTAGAAATTGCAATAATTATTATGGCTTGAAAGAAAACTTAATTTTTTCCTCATGTAATCTGCAGTCAAGCTTATATATAAAGTAAAATTAACAGTACAAGTCTTTTTTGGTATTAACATAAGTTTTATATTACATGTCAAAAATTTTCACAGAAAATTCAAGTGTGATTAAACTGTTTTGTCGATCAATTAAGGAAATTTTTTAAATACATAACGTAATGCAATTTTTATGACCATATTTCTATTAATATATTATCATAGAAATATGTACGCATCATGAAAATATGTTATTTGCGAAACTTATGCAAATCTCTAAAAAGAATTATATTATTAAACATTTTTTTTTTTACTATAAATGTTATTAGAAGAAAAAATTAAGTTTTATTTAATCTATAACTATATATTATGATTATGTCGATATTAATATTATTTATGACAAAGTTATTATATAACCAATATTATATAATCAATTTTTTATTTGCCGCTAAAATTCTACATAACTTACTTTAAATTTTGATTACGTTTGAGAATTAATGATTACTATAATTGCCGAGTATTATTATTTACAAGTTTTTAACGTGTTACTTTTGTATGCCGAAATATTATCTGAGCAAGAAATACTTATATTATTAAAAGAGACTATGATATTAGAATGTAAGCATTCTAATTATTATTAAAAGAGACTATGATATTAGAATGTAAGCATTCTAATATCATAGTAGGCGAAATAAATGCCTATATAGTGAGTCATTTCTAAGAATACAGGAATATTTGTGCGCATTCTGCGCTGGTATAAATAAAAGCAAGTAGCTATCTTTGGATAAATACCGAGATTATCTTCTGCAATTATGTCCCATTAATGTCTGATTGAGTTCGATTCAACTATATATACATATATGTATATCATGTGATTCAATATACACATTATATAAATTTTTATATCTAACAATACGACTTATGACATAAAAAGGTCCGTATTTTTAGTTCACTTTTATCGATACTTTTATTTCTGAGATGCTGTAGTTTACGTTACATATACAATAGCGTTTTAGAAATAAAAGCGCGCTTTTATCGATAAAAGTGAACTGAGATTACGGGCCAAAGAATATATAAAGAAAAATTGTTATCAAAATTTTAATTTTAAACTCTTATATTTAAATAGATATATGTATCTATGCATATATTTTATTTTCAATACCACTAGAAAATCACATTACATTATAAATTGTATTATAGTTTAATTTTAATTATAGCAAGAGTAAAATCGATTAAAGACCTAATACGCGCACCGTATAATTAAATGCAATAGTAAGTGTATAATTAATACACCTACGTAAACTGGCGCAGTTCAATACTGTTTTCTAACACTTTCAAACATGCTTGCGTAAGCATAATGAACTGTATTATTATTGCATTATTATTGCATTATGCAAACATTATGATGAGCTCAGCACCACAGTTAACTACTTTAATCGAAGTAATGATTTTTATCTTTGATTTATAGAATCAAGGATTCAAGACTTTCGATAAATAATAAATTCGAGAATATCAAGTATATTATTTATAAGTATATTATTTAATTAATTAATGACAAACACCTGTATTAAGTAGGAATTTGATTCCTCCGTTAAAGAGTGCAAATACGGAGAAATCGATGCTTTCTTGACAATGTGCGGCACTTTCAATATCGAAGTCACTTTGTGTACCGCTTCGGCATTGGTCATGGTATCCGGTCCAATAATTCCTGTATAATTACGAGACATAAATCAATTGACATTTTCAAAGTACCTGAGAAATACGAACTTTATGTTTGTAAATATAGAGTATTTTCATTCGCGCTTATTCTAGTTTACGAAAGACTAATTTTGTCAATTAATTTATTAGCTTTTGGTAATTACTGTAAATTATTTATACAAAACATTGAGATATTGATCCTACCTAGATAATGAGGTGGATGTAAACAGCTGATATCCGCCCATACTAAAGCCTTCATTACCGCTTTCAGAGCACCTGTTATACTTCCGCACGTATCCAAAACAGTAATTTCTATAAATAGTTAATTTTGCGATTGAACTTTTTGTTTAATTACTACATTCAGTTTTTCATTGAAATTATTGTCGAATAATTATTCTTCATTATTCTCACTCAGATATTTAGAGTGTTTGATCGAAATAAATTATTCTACTTCGTATTACTTTATTTTGATTTACCGATTTTGAATCCGTCGGTTTTGTTGTTCTGAATCTCTGCGAAAAGTTTGGCGGCCTCGTAGAGCGTAACGCCCCTCGTCGATAACTTTGTACACGCTGGATCATCGTGCACGCTTGTTAGAAATGAAATTTGCACAGTTTCGCCACATTCCGTGCGTGCACCGCAGGTGCACGCGGCGATCACCACGAGGATTACCCACCAGGTTCGTGATACTCCCATGTGTGTTTTGGGTAAACAGATCAATACAAATCGGATCAATTGCTCTGTGAGATCTTCAAAATTGAAAAACGCTTTTCTGTGATTTCTTATTATAGTAAAATATATGTATAAAAAAAACACCAATAATGACAATATTAAATAAATAAATGCAGTTTTCTATCACATGTTGCATAACTCACCGACGTTGTAAAGTAATTACAAAATTTTGTTCATTAATTAATCACAGCCAATACAATTAAAATTAATAAATGATTACCGTTTAAAATCATAATCATTCTTTTACTTTTAAATGAATATTTAAGCTATGATTATTTCCTTGTAAATTGGTAATTTCAAACACAGTTATATAACACATGGGGGAAAAGGAAGAAGGCTGAAGTTTATAGGGACAAACTATTAACAATATATAATTCTTTTGAAAACGTTTCTTGTGACAGATTACTGAACTATTCGCTTCAAGTGCAGACCCTGATATTGAATTCCGGAAGCTTTACAAGGTGACCGATATACATTATGTGAATTTGTAAGGTTTTGAACGTGTCCTCGTACAGCAGAAGCTCTCAATCTACCATTTGAAGTAGCCCCAAAAAAACGAGAAAACGTTATAAATTCTTAGTAGCAACTTTATAAGAAATAATGAAAACAATTTAAAAAGAGATCTGATAAATTACAAATATATGTATATTGTATTATAAAATTGTACTAATAAGATATACAAATTGTACTTATCTTTCTTTCTGTTTCAATATAAATATAAATTTTTTATGCTTTTTCTTCGTACTTTTTTATATTTATAGCATTAATTGAACAATTATACTAATTAATTTTTTTAAATTAAAATATTACATTTATTAAATGTCGATAAATTTCGTGTTGACGATTGTTTCGCGGAAATTTTATTTTAATTAACTCTTATTCGCTCTTCTTTTTTAGGGAAAAAGCAAAGAAAGACATTTACCTTTGTTGCAACTTTAAATTTTTTAAGTTTTAAATTTTTATGTACTTTATTATGCTGCTTCAGATAATAAATAAAATTGTAATAAAAACTTAATAAAATTTTTGAATGCTAATAAAGAAGAAGCAAATATACCATCATAAAAACCTAATTTATTTTTTAGATAATGATGTTTGTAAGTAAATATACAGGTTGGTCGATATTAAAAAATAAGTAAAAAAATATAAAAATTAATTTAAAAATTTGTTTTATATTATTTACTTATTTTTTTACTAAAGTTTATCTTCTTATTAGTTGCGTCACAATTATCTTATATAATATATATATAACAATAATATTTTTTTATTTTGTTTGATTTGAGAACCTTTCTTAATTCACATATAAGCTTGTTAACATAGCAAGTCGGTTGCTAAGAATCCTACTTAAATCCTAATTTAATTTCTCTTACATCATTTATTTACTTTTGTATTTATTTTCTTTGCATAACCATTATGTAACTGAAATATATTAAAATCACACGTCGCTTTAACATGATACTTTTTACTAACATTATTTGTTATATTTTCTATCTATTACATATAACATATCAAGTATTTGCCTATTTTTTTCCTATTTTATCTTATGTTGCAAGTAAAACATAAGTTGTTGCAACTATAACATAAATTAAAATTATTAATTGTTAACTATCATATGTTACAGTTGTCAAAGATTATTTAATTTGATTATGCAGTTTAAAAGAACAGGAGCGTAGTATATTTTTGTTTTTAAAAACTAAAGAAACTAATTAGAAGAAGGTATTTATGAATAAATTATATTGTCGTGAGATTATACATATATTTATAATTGCATGAACTAAATCTGCTAGATACTTGTTAACCAATATCTTTATTGTCTGATAAATGTTATCATGAGTTTTTCTATATGATATAATATTGATAATACAGATGGCGGTAAAAATCAAGGAAACTACATATATGGTATTATGACTATATCAATTGTATTAAGCCCAAGCAGCACGAGATGGCACCACTACCTGATGAGAATCATGATAAATCATCTTTCCGCAGGGATGACTGATTCATATATATATATATAGTCATTTGAGCTTATAGCGAAACGGACTCGAGTTTACCTATAATATATTGTGGATACTTACGTACACTTACACATCCATATATACACTTTTTTTATGATTGTTTTATAAATATTTGAGAAAAAATAAAGAAACAAGTTATAATTTAATTTAAAAAGAATAAAGAAAAGATAAAATAATACTTATATAGATGAAGCAAAAGAGATAATTATTTTTTATTTATATATACCTCAAAAATAGTGACAACAAATTATTAATACAACACTATAATATTATATTAATAATAGAGTATATTAATGATTTTAATAATTTGTTTATAAATACATTCTTTTTAGCGACTTGTTGGGTAATTCATCAAGTAACCGCCAAGGAATAATTTTGTAGTAATTTTGATGGTACGCGCTTCATAAAAAATCTCACATATATGTGTCTTATTGTTAATCATTTATGATTAATTATTGAATATATAGTTATAATTGAAAACACTATCATAGATATCGTAGATTGAAGATATTATCATAGACATATATTCATTTTTTATCATTTTAAATGGGAAATTCGTATTAATACTTTACACTTTTAATTGATTCAATTTTATTTTTAAACTTCAATATCTTAGCCATACTTTACTAGATAAATTTAAAGTATAATATAATATAAAGTAATATATTATACGGTGTATATATATCATCTTCTCTATGCGTATTTAATTGATACATAAAACAGCTCGTATTAATGAGTGCGATATAATTTATCTTATTGTGTTAGTGTCAGGACGGTAATTAGAAAACATTATGCCTAGCTTGACGAACGTTTTGTTTTGTTTACGAGGAAATAATTTGGGCAACTCCCTTTGATGTAGATAATCGCTCAGACAAATTATATCTACATAGGTGACCCACTACGCGAAATAGACACAGTCCGCTATCGAGTCATAATTCTTTCAACCAGGCGTGCAGACGGTTCGTGAGCCGATCTCTGCACTTCAAAGGCAAATAAGAAAAAGCGCGGAAGGATATATTTGCGTCCATGCTGGCCATTACTTATGTTGGCACAGGACCAACAATAACAGTGGCGGACTTTTAAAAGCTAGAGATGCGGGACTTCCTCGTATCTCAAACATCCCCATACCGTCCAGTTGTAGGTCGATGCAGACACAGCCTGCAATCTTTATCCATCTCTATCCACACGTCCGTCGGATGTTCGATAAATCCTCTGACGAATCCTCGACGAACAGTTTCACACTGAACTTCATAAGATATATATGCCACAGGGAGAAAAAGACGAGAGAGGGAACACGATAGAAAACTTACTTACCCCGCTCGTGTTTCCAGCAAACTCCACTTTATTCTCATATTACATTTGGGTTTAGGAGGGTTTATTTTAACGGTGTCAATATTACGTCAGAATCACTGCAGCAGGGTCGAGTGGCACAATTCAGGCTCTTCAACAATATAAATTAGGTCAATGCGATGATTTTTAATGTGATTTATGATTGTCATTTCTAATGATTTTCCGATGGCTATTACACGAATACTCAGATTTCAAATCGCTAGAAATTTCTTGTCATTGAGAAATTATTGTATTGTCCCATTTATCTGTGACAATATTTATCCCATTTTATCTTACGTATGTTTCAAATTTACTGACATATTCCAAATTTATTGCAATTTTGCGATATTGCTAATGGAAATACATTCCCTAAATTCATTCCCTAAATTAATACTTTTTGACATTTGGAATGGAATTAACGTTTTGTAAGAGATAGATGCAAGTTTATAAAATTTCGTATATATACATATATACATGGAAATACACATTTTGCTTATTTTATTATTATTATTATTATAGTATTAGGCTAATATAATTATTTTTTATAGTTTATCTTTCTCATTTCCTCTCCCTTTTTCTTTCATCCATCATCACGAGTGACTTGATTTGATCGTGAGAAATTACGAACGTCGATAAATTATAGTTTTACTAGTTTTGGCTCCGATCCGTTCAATGTTTACTTTGTGACTTCTTTATACCATCACGTGTCTCATGGCACGTTTAAAATATAGCATTTGCTCGTAGGATAGATTCGGAACAAGTGCATACAATTGCGGAAATTAGCGAAAAATAGACTCACCGCGGCGTTATCAAGCACGAAATTTTTACCTGAAAAAAGAGAAATCAAAAGATATATACGAATTTAAGTTTTGATATCTAATTAAAAAAAAATAAAACAAATCAGGTTGATTTAAAATTATTTAATGGAAGTAATAAAAGACGTGGTGACTTTTCGCTAGTTTTAGAACACCCTGATGTGATTCTAGGACAAGAGTTATGACAGGCAGACGGACACGCGAAGTCATCCATTGCGGTTTACGTATTCCCGTTTAACTAACGCTCTTCTCACACGCATCGGTGACTGATCACATGCATAAAAATCAGTGTCAGTAACGTCATACCATAACTCTTCTGTGAGACTTCTGATTTCGGCCGCGACATCACGGTGCCTCCGCGACGTAACACGTTAACGCTGACAAATACCCGTGAAAGTTTATCTGTAATCGACCGGAAACGCGAAGACTGGCCTAGATTTCGTAGTGTAAATTTTCCACAGAAAGGGAACGTAATTTTGTAAGTGAATGCTTCGATTGTCGGTATATAGCCTTATCACGAATCCATCTGGGGGATCTGGGGTTTTGATGTAATGAAATAAGTTAAAATAAATATTTATTCACATCGTAAGCTTCATATTTGCGCATTTTTATTGAGTAAAAATGAAGCCAGTTTACAATTTGCATACAACTTTAAATATTACCTTTATTTATATATCTCAAATTTAAAGCGAATTTTACAGGTTTATTTTTACCCTGAACTCTCTGTATAAAACGTTTTATGATTACACGTTCTAAGTTCTAATATTAAACGAGGTTAATGGATAAACCGTTGAATTACGTTCGCTGTCATTCATTATAACTGTCGCGTCGACGTTTTCCTTTGCTCGGCATAATCGGGTCGCTTTGCGAGCTTTGTTGTTGCTTCTCTAGCCGTCGGCGCACTCGGCTCGCATGCGGATAGAAAAATTTTCGCGCCGTTTAGCAAGAACGACGTGCAATGGATCTTCGGCCGTGGAAGCGCCACGGTTGGAGAGATCGGAGTGTTGCATGCGCGTGACCCAATATGGAGAAATTGAGTCTCTCCCCGTTACACACCTACGTGTGTTATTCATCGACCGTTCAAGTGGCAATGCTAAGATTGATTGACTAGGCGATCGGCATAAGTAGAATACTGCATTCTTCGCGAATAAACGCGCGATCATTCGTCTCTTCGATCCCACGTCATTACCCGCGGATGCAAAATGTTGCGAGAGCAACACATGTTTTATTGTTCACTCCGAGATAACATTAAATGTAATGAACGAAACTTTGAAGGGATTATTAATGAAAGCTTTTCATGATTAATTTGTGTCGTTATTTTATGTCGATTAATACAAAATAAATAATGAATAGGGACAATGCACGCATAATTGCAATACAATTTTGCAATACAGTTTTGTTCATCAATAATTTGGAAAGAGCTCTATTGCAGTTAAAATGTTAAGCAATCGCGATGTAAAACTCAGTGATAGACGGGCTTGATTGAAAACGTTGTCATACATGACCACGTTTTCAATCAAGCACAGACATTCACTGATTATAAGTACGTCAACAATATACATATATACATATATAGGTCAAGCACTTCAAATATATTTTTATTTACTAATTGTAAGTAATAGATAAAACTGGAAACTGACAGCTCAATATTGAGAGGAATGGTGTATTTCAGTATTTTTTTATCTAGTAAAAGTATAGATATTGTAAGATAAAGTAAGAAAATTCAGAAACACAAAGTGTATCAATAATACATAGACTAAGCATTCTGTTTGCAGAATAGGGCGCAAATGCTCTTCTTAAAATGCTTTCTTTAAGTTTTATGATTTAAAAAATATTTATGCAAAAAATAAAAGAGAATTTATCAGCAAAGGTAAGAAATAAAGAAAAATTAATATTATTTTTATTTATTTTATGTAATTATATAGTTTTATGAAAATCGTTGAAGAATTGATATTAATTACTAATTATTAGGATGTTTTTTTTTAGTCAGGATGGATGATTGGATAAATATTCGGAAATGCACGCATCGAGTAACGAGTTTAATTTATTATCAATAATATTGCCGAATCGAGCCAACTTCTATCGAGAGAGCCGTTTTTCAGGCGTCTGTGACGCTTGAAACAATCGTACAAAGCTATTTAGGAAACATGGTAGCTTATTGAACGATGAAACTCGCGTGTATCACGCGGCAGACTCATGGGAATTCGTAAATTGTTGGCGAAATACCGGAGAATTTCTCGTATGAATTTGGCACCGTTGATTACGCGACCTAGTTTAGCTACGTCATTGACGCCTTTCCGTATTGACGCATCGATAAATAAAATCTGCTAACGTTGACATGACAGCTAGCTTATGATACACGATGCTACGACGCTGATTAGATTTCTCACCGTGGTTAGCCACAAAGACGTCTCGTAGCAAAAGCCTAACATTCAAATAATCAAGACATAATATCGGATATAAAATCTCGATTTATAACAATAATATTTAGGTAATTCCCAAAGAAACCAAATGCATGTAACTGTAAAAACATTTCTCGCATTTTTCAGAAAGATAAACTAGTTTTGCAAACTCATATCAATCAAATGTTGGAAGTTGAAAGGAAGTAGAAGGAGTTAAAAGTCAAAGAATTATGCTTTATGTTTTAGATATTGTAATTTTATATTTGTTTTTTTTTTTTTACTTTAAAATGTCGATCCTTCCTAAGAAATTAAAGATTCTAGTGAAATTTATATTATATATCAACTTTCTAGTTCCATTATTTATTATGACGACAAAAAAATGACATCGAACTGAGATAGTTGACAGAATCTATTGACAGAATTTACGTACAAACATGCTAAGTAAAAATTTTAAAGAAACGAGGAAATAAATCAGTCGATATGAAAAATTCTCAAGTGATAAGAAATATCCGTTGTGCATCAATATTGCCACAGCGTGTTGCTGCTGCCTTAACAGTGTACAATGCTTTACTTCTAACGATCGATTTGAATCCGCTATGCTTCGCTAAAATCTCAGTTAACCGTACAAGTTTCAACGATATTGATCCATACGCGTGTTTATTCGGAAAAGCTAGATTTCTATTTGTACAAACCGGGCAGATTGAATATAGCATCGAGATGTACATTGTACATATCGTAAATGCAAATGTCTGACAAGACACCTGATTTAGTCAATACAGGCATCAAATAAACTTACTATGCGTAGGTAAACGAGCCAATCGTGCATCTATAAGAGTCGTTCAAATGAAACATAGACTGTTTGAGTGAAGTGTAATTTAAAAGACCAAATCAGAAACTTTGCTTCGCTAGTAATTAACAATCATGATTTTTTACTTGATCTAACTGGCCATCTTTTATTAATCATAATCGTCACGATATTTCGACCATTAGTTTTGATCTTTCTCAATTGATTTAACTTTTGATGCTAAATTCTTTTCTCATTTGATTTAAATAAGGATGTTTATAATAGCATCAAAAGTTAAATCGATTGAGAAGGACCAAAACTAATAGTCGAAACGTCGCGACGATTATGATTAATAAAAGATGACCAGTTGGATCGAGTAAAAAATCATTATTGTAATTTAAGACAGTATAAGAATATGTACACAGGTAAATATATATACCACACTGTTGCTGATAGTGCTATATATAGGCACCCCTAACATTTAGGCAGATGTCTCATCTCCAGTGACGTCACTGTTCATCACGCAGCAACCCATCTATGTTTTATTTGGACAACTCTTATATTATTTGCGTAAAATGTGCGACTGTTATTATTTATAATAGATATGTATAATAGATATAATTACAAAATAAGATATATATAGCATAAGATGTGTAATTTACGCAAACATACCTGTAAAAGTAAATAGTATTAGATAATTATATAACAGGTCTCTATAACAGATTTCTATCACACGTTTGGGTAGTATTTTTCTATAAGTTTTTTATAGTTGTACGAATTTCTTAATGATATCGCAAGTATTAAATGAACTCTCAAGATCCATTCAATGATCCGTATCATATCACAAAGTTATTTTTAGCTAAAAGTTTGTTAAAAAAAATATAATTATGAATGCAAGCATCATTAATTGATGTTGCTAAGATCAAAGATCTATTATATTTACTTTATACAAAGACACGTAATTATCAAAGCAATGGAGATTACAATTTCATAATGCCTTTAATTAAAAGCATTTATGAAAATATGTGGACGAGAAAGTATATAGTTTGCTTTTAATATATTGGAATTTTTTAAATTAAAATTTTTAAAACTTAATGCAGAAAGAATTTTCTGCATTATTTTATACTTTATTATACATATTTAGTACTTTTATTAAATATATAATTACATATTTTATACTTTATTATACATATTTAATACATTTAAATATAATTACACATATACTTATAGAAAATCTTCCAAAACTATTATTTTCTTTCAATCTGTTATTTCTTTCAAATTGAAGTTTTTTTCACGATTTTTTATTTCATGCCGCATCTTTTTAATTTTTAAAGAAAAATTTTAGTAATGTAAATCTACATTAGTAATAAAAATCTATTTTTTATTTAATTGCTCAAATAAAATTATTTTTGCAAATTAAATATTTTCTTGCAATATGTTATAAAAATTTATTAATGTGTTATACGCATTGTCATATCATAGATTATTGCAATTGTTACACTTGAATTATTTATTAAAACAAATTTGAAAATACAAGAATTGCGACGTGTGCGGCGACAATTTATACAGAGTAAGATAAATCACCTTTAATGCGTGATGCAGTCGCTTCATCGCGCTTCACTTCAAAGCGAGGCGCATGAGACTGTCCCAAATCAAACTACAATGCAAACAGAGAGGATTGACAGCGAGAGATTTAAATGGAATGCGCTTGGTTTCCTAATAGGGAATCGTGTTTATTGCCGTTTCTTTCATACTTTACCACAACCGTTATTAACCTATATCGTAAAAGGTATAATGTGAGAAATCGGCAAAAAAGGAAAAGACAGAAATTAAGTGACATCAGAAAATTATAATTAATTGCATTTTTAACATCTAAAGAAACAATTAAAATATGCTGAGACATAAGATTTATATACATTTTATAAATAAAAGAAATACGTTTTTAGACGTTGTAGTAATAACGATTTTATTACTGTATTGTTGAACACTGATGATTGTGAATTAAATTATGCGAAGTCATGCATTGCGCCAACAACTTCCGGGGGGGGGGAGTTACATTTTAAAAAGTTACATAATGCACACTGCATTTATCGCAAGTAAAACGATACACGTTCCTTTCTCTTTTCGGTGATACATCCGAGTGCGATATGTCCTCTCTTCTTTTGTAAAAATACGAAATACATATAATGAATTAATAAGCAACAACTATAAAATAATAATAAAATGTCAAATTAACAGTTTATAAAGCAGTTAATTTGATTCACTGATATCTAAAAATGGAAATAAGCTGAATTGATTTATAAAATTGGTTAAAATGGTCCATGTTTAATATAAAGCAATAATCTATTAAGTAATTATAATAAGAATAAACAAACATTACTTAATCAAATATTATTATGCCTTTTTAATTTTAACCATGAAATACGTTGAAAATTGATTTTTTAATCTGATAGAGTTTATATTAAAATCGTAGTATAATAAAGTGCAACAAAATAAGCTTTATAATAAAATAGAACGTAATTACTTTAAGTTGAAAACGTATGTAAAAAAATTGTTATTACAATATTATTAAAATTATTATGAGTATTACTCAATATAATTAAAGTAAGTCCAGATATATATTGCACGTCATTTAAAAAAAGAGAGAGGTGATGTTAATTTATTAATTACTACAGACCTCCCGCACGCGGTAAAAAAATACTATAAAGGGGGAAAGAGCGCGCATGCTCCCAACGAAAGGGAGGCGCGTTCGAGAGTTCGCGGCCGGTTGAGTTCCGTGTTCCATTCAGTTTACCGGCACTATTTGCACGGTTCGGGTTCCTTCTGGGCACGTATAGCCTGGCGGACCAATAATGATAGGAAGCGAATGCATCACGTGGCTACAATGCCGTCGAAATTCTGGTCAGTTATCGGTGCGCGTTGCAACGGAAGTCACGGAGCTGTGCACAAGCAGGGAACGTGTTTCGAACCACCTGTGAGGGCAACCCGACGAGAATGACGATCGAGACGTTGCGTTGCGCGAAATTCGACAACGCGGATTGTACGGTGGTCTGAATAAATCGTCAATTTATCATGAATAAATCGTGAATTTATTTTCGCGGCAAAATTGTGAGTGACAATCCAGTGATGCGCGGCGATGTATAAATTGTTCACGCGGCGGATTAAAACGAAATGAATCGTATTTAACTCTGGGAAATGCCAGCAACGGCGAGTAGTATGCGTGCGATCTGATTGAATCACTTCTCTCATCTTCCTCTTGTTAAAATAAATAAATCGATAGCAGATTATCGGTGGTTCGTGGCAGATTGAATCAGCGGCTTGTTAAAATTAAATTAACCGTGATTAGGAAGTTTCGTTCCTGCAAGAAAAAGCGATCAAGGAAATGGCCAATTAAATCGTAGAGGTCTTACTAGTAGGCCGATAGTTCATTAATGACTCTCCTGTCCGACTCTCCTGAGAGATTGTTGAACAGATTGCTTCACTAATTACGAACAAAGTTGACTTACACTCCACTTCAATATCGGAATTGTCATACCTGAGGGAATTTTTACCAAATGACGTAGAACGAGTTTTGTCAATGAAAGGAATTACATGTGGAATGCAGAATCGAGTTGCGGCGAATTTAATCGCGCGTGTTGATGTAGGTTTCGAATATATATATATATACTTAGATACACGGGATGCTTGCGCGATTATGGTACACATCTACTGATATCGGAACACGTGAAGCATTCTATTTGAGATTGAATGGCAAATATTTCGAGCATACTTCAAAAATTCTCAATGATTCTTCCCGCGAACTCGAGAAATGCTACAAGTATTGCTGTAGAAGCATTCTTATTTCCGGTTTGCCGATTGCTACACTGAGAAAAAAAAATCGTTGATTCAAAGAAATATTATTTGATTTAACTAAATGCAGCGGTCACGGGCTGTCAAGCTAACATTTGTTAATTCAAAAAATATTATATTGAAATAAATTCAGAATTTCTTAATATTACTCACGTATATTTGATTTAAATATATTAATATTTGCATTAAACAAATCACTACAACTAAACGAGTTTAGTCAAATTAACGACATTTTTTTCTCAGTGTAGGTAATTTATTGTGAGAAATTGTACAGAACGGAAAATAAAATTTTATCATGTCACAAGATTCCATCAAGATGATGCCAAAAGAATAAGCAAATTTAATATTAGTTTATTAAATGGATTAATATATTTTTATTAAATTCAATCCCCGATATAGACGTTCCGAGGTAAAAATATATTCAGCGCAGGTCACGCCACTTTATTGGACGAATGTGACTGTTCATTCAATCTGGCAAACAAACGGCGCAGTTCAGTTAAACAAGTCACTCATAAAGCTACGTCTAAAGTGTGAGAAAGTTAATAATGTTAATCGGTCGCGCGTAGGACGTAACATACAATTCCTCGGGGTGCAAATTCTCGTCGAAGTTATAGAAGATAAACATTTGTCTGGGGCTTTCCGCAAATTAACATTCCCACCGTCTGAGCCATTCGATCGAGGTGTTAAATGGATTCCCGTTTTAAGTGAAGAAGCCAATCAGTACGTTTCGCGCGGGGCGAGCAATTTCTCGCGATCTCATTGAGAGCTCTGCTCGCGACGCGCCGTATCGAGATAATTAATGGTGAATGTGCCGTGACGAGAGACTTGATGATGTCACTTAACGTTTCCAACCCGGCGAAAGTGGTGGTTATCTTAAAGCAAGCAAAAACGGTAAGCTGGGTTCGCGTCGCGGAACGTCGTGGTGCCATCGCGCACCTGCGATTCCTAATGGATTTTCTCGGGTTGTATTTCGACACGCGGCAATCCGTCGTCGAAACGCGCGAAACTCCAACGTCAAGAATTGTCGCGGCACGGCGGAAAGTGCTACCGACGTAAAATTAAAATTCCTCCTGAAAAAAATAAAAAAACGTATAACGAAAACCGACATGACGGTGCTTGTATGTAAGGCTTGTAAATACGTAACTCAAGCGGCGAGTTCCCCTTCCGTCTAAGTGAAGATACGTGATAGCGTGAACGTATCGAGTGTGCGAGGATACGTGATCGCGAGGGGATTTACGAAATAGTTTAAAAAGTGGGAAAAAATTCGGGCGAACGAGCGACGAAGGAACAAGAGGAAGGTGCATATTAATCCCGCACTTGAAAAAGATGTTGACAACGATGTCTACCGTCGCGTTCGAATTGAATTCATCCTATTACACAACGGCGATCGGCAACAGCGCGCTCGACGGATTCTCAGGTACTCTCAAAACTACGGTTTCCTATTGTAAAACGATCCATTACATTAATTACAAACGCTCGGGACACTCTCCGTGAAATATGTCTATATACAGGATCTTAAGTATCTCGTACCGCTGATTTCAGTAATCGAGTCGGAGAACGCTACTTCCGCGCTGTACATGCTGCCCGCCTACATCCGAACCACTTCGATGGTAGCCTGTATTATCGTGATGGTTCTTGGTATAGTTGGCAATCTGATGGTAATTTTAACTGTATTTTATTAATGTCAATTGTGCAATTACACTTACAATCAACGAAATATCACCAGTATAATTTAATCGCCGCTTTTATTTGCAATTCGTATTATCGCTATCGATCTATCAATGTATATAATCAATCGTTGTGGAGTCGGCTGCTATATTTCGCGTGTAATCGCGTGATTCTCAGGTGCCGTTAGTTGTGCTGCGGGGTAAGGACATGAGGAACAGCACAAACATCTTCCTGGTGAATCTGAGCGTCGCCGACCTCTGCGTGCTCGTGATCTGTACGCCTACAGTGTTAATTGAAGTCAATTCGGGCCCGCAAGTCTGGCCGCTCGGCGAACACATGTGTAAGTCCGAACCGATTTCGCGAAAAAGCATGACGCACTTTGGTGTACCTATTCCTATCATCTCAGCCGCGTGCACGGCCACTCGACATGGACAGGGCGCGGTGATCTGTCGGCCGGCTAAAACCCAAAAATATCGAACGTCACATATTTCTTCAACGGACATATGTTGATAGACCCGCGTCATCCCTTTACCTCTCGTGAATCTGCGCGTGGTTCGTTAACCAATATGCATATTTCTGTTGCGTCACAGAGGCTCGAATACGTGGACCAATTCTCGCCTCTCGAGCCCGCCGGAATTTCAGTTCAGGATCACGCGAACGTCAATACCGCATCGGCGGGCCGTTCTTCTTTCTCTAAACTCTCTAAAGTATTAGTATGCGCAAAAAGGCAAAAAGCTTTAAAGCTTTAAAGTTTATTAAAAAGCTTCAGGGTAAAAAAAGTTACAATTAACAATTATCTTACTAGAAAGCATATTTTATCTATTTCTGTATTCTTCGAGTTATTACACGTGCAATGAAATATGAACGGGTTTATACGAATTTTTATATAGTATATATTTTATCAGATATTGGCCATGATAAAATCCAAATAATACGCATGTACTAAACATAATGGATTGATGATTCATGTATTAATTACTAGGGCGATTAATATTGATATTTTCATATTGCGACAATTAAAAACCGTAATTATAAGTTCTATAGCTAAAGAAATACAAAAATTTTGATACTCACTCAGCATTTCACGATGTATAGGAATAAAACTTTGCAATAATTTGCAATAATTTAAGCATTAATATCCACTGGGCGCTATCCAAAAGATGGTTTACAGCTGATTTGCATTAGTTATTTGTCTCATATTGCGACATATTGGAATGATGGACGTAAGTTTTTATCCAGAGTGTACGGCAATATCACTGCGCATTGCTGAATTGTCGGAATCCATAGAAAATAATCTCATTTCACCATTATTGGACTGCCGAAAAAGAACAAAAATGCGTCACTTTTTTTCCTGCACGTCATAAGTTGCAGATCTATCAGTGCGCTCGCAGGTACGCGATTAAATTGCAAACTTGACGGATCGATATTAAATCTAACTTTTTTTATTCCTTTTCTCTTAGTTGATCATATCATTCGCTTGAGAAAATATTACACGATTTTTGACAAAAGTTATTTTTGCATAAAAAACGTTTTAAAGTATTGTCGTTGCGGTGATCGTTTCAACAATTTCGTTTCAATGTTATTTTTAAACTTTTTAAATTAATATTTACTCAAATTAATTATTGTATATTGACACACATATAACTTTTTTATTTGTTTTATATTAATAACAGTTTGATTTTCCACGTATTTGTCCGAATTGTGATAAAAGTTTTTTGTTATCAATTTTCATATACATATAATAAGTTACATTAGAGTTGTGGAATGAGCTAAATTTAACTACATTTTTTGTATTTTAATATATTTATTTACAATTCATGTTTTTCCCTATCCATTTTTTATTCTAAAAGCAGTTCTTATGAACTTTTTTTTGAAACCGTTAATCGTATTGGAACTTCATAAAAAATAGCTAATTTGGCGAGTTTAGTACTGGCGATAAAATTATTTTCGAAAAATCAATGTTGTCTATATATGAGACGAGATTGGCCTACTTTTATAGCGTTAGTTTCTTGGTAATCTATATTGCAGGAACGTAGGGAGGGAAAGGAAGACAAAAAGAGAGAGATTCAGAAATCTTTCTCACATGGTTGATGATACTACGGCTATCCAAACTTTCACGAGTTTAGTACGAAGACGCGAAAATATCGTCGGAAGAAAAATGCCATTGGCAAAAATAGTTTTGATTCTTCTTGTATCTCATCACTCGGAGTTAATCGCGATCAAATAGCAGATCACGCATGTGTACCGTTGGAAATCATAATTACTGTGACATTATTAAAACTCACTGTGTGACTACTGCTAATTAAATTCGTTTTTTATGAAACGTTTTAAACTGATACCCACTTCCTGCTACGTTAATTAAACCGGTGACAATTTTATTCAGTGATTAAGTGAACCGACCGTGGCTTTGACCGTATCTAATAAGGATTGCAAGTCAATAGTTTACAAAGCTATATAGTTTATATCACTGCAAAGGGCTAACTTTTACTAAAGGTAATTTACGAGATAATTAGTCTCATTAATTACTAGGCCACATTATCTATTGTCTATTGTCAATTTCTATCTATCTACTCTGTCAAAGGATTCACGAAATTTAACAAGAATCAAACTTAGCGAAACAGTTAAATTCAACATTAATCAAGTTTGGTTTATCTCGCGAAAATTTCATTCTTCTGTATTCTTATTCAATGTTTTGTTGTTATCTGTTAACTGCAACGGTCTACAACTAGACAGATTCTATTATAGATATGATAGAAAAAATATTAGAAAGATCATATCATTCTTTTTTATTTGATTTTATATAAAGAATATTTGTATCTCTTTAGATAATTTTTGAATGAAATAAACTATGCATAGGTTTAAAAATTCTGTATTTTTTCAGTAGAATAGAAAATCATTTTTTCATAATATTATTTTGATTAAATTTAATTACTACTAATCAAATATACTTCTTTTTTTCTTTATTTATAATTTATTATATTTTTTTCTAAAAATAATTAAGCAATAGATTTTTAAAAACTACTTTATTAAATGAAACACGACGTTATTTGTTTTATTTTAATTAAACTAACCAAGATAGTTATGTACTACATATATTTATTCGTGTTTGGAGAACAAGTATCTGAAATAACAAAGAGATTAAAAGCCGTACCAGTTCTTGCTTTAAGAGCAAACAATATTATTGCAAATCCACGAGCGACGTGAAGTAGTCTGTAGATGGTATACTTATTCGTATATCGCATTTGCATCAGTTACATTGTCAAGAGAGAGAGAATTTCATGTCTTCCTAGAAGGAACGAAACTCACAATGTGCTACGACCAATATTTAAATCAATAGAAATTAAAGTCGAAAAAGTTAAGCTTCCTATACATGGCCAAGGATTATTACTTTTAGAGATATTATTCCTTCCAAAAAGTTATTTCGACAAATTATAGAATAAACCAACTAACCAACGAATCAATTATTGCTACTATTGTCATTTCTCTTTGTTCGTTCACGATAATGACATGAAAATAATGACTCAGTTTTATGTTTTCTTTAGGTTTAATACCGCTCTTTTTTATGACGTAGATAGTTATTAAAGATGTTTCAAGAAGCAATTAGTTCTTTTGTTTTATTACCTTCAATTAGTCAATCATCGAAAGTGAAATGGAAAAGAGAAAAAGCTAAAGTATTACCTTATTTTATAAAAATTTTATAATATTTAAAATATTTTATAAAAATATAACGTTTGATACAAGGAAATGATTACACAGTTAAATTTACAATTATTCGACGATTAAACGTTTGACATAAAAAAGTCTAAAACACGAATATAAATTGTTCATCGATTATCAATTGTTTTAAAAATTGACAATGATATTCAACCACTGCCACCACTTGATACGGGCACGCGAGTGACACGTTTTATATACTGTCAAATAACTTCCATTCGCGATCTGTGCTATACGGACGAACATCGATATGTCCGTGCTCGTAAACCGTTGGTACCATATGGCGTTGCAGGGGTGAGAAATTCTTCCGGCTTACAATTCCTTACGAGCGACTGGCTATATATCTCGATTCCCCGGTCTCTTTTGCTTGCACGGAAGAATGCAAGAAAGGGCGAAACGCGGAGGGCGACGCGACGGGAGGATCGAGGTTGAATCAACGGCGAGTAGCGAGAACATCGTGAGGGGTCTCTATGGGCTATATGAGATGTGAGATGCGTTTACCCGTGGAGGGTCGCGCGAAGGTGGTCCAGATGGGGTGTGGTGTAAAGAGGGGGGTAGCATTTAGGCGCGTCTGGGTTTTATGAGGCGCATACGGCGACGCGCGTCTCAAGTCGATGCCCTCCTCCTCTTCTTTTCCTTTTGACACCGGCATACCTCTCGTCCGGCATTCCTTCGAAACACTGCCCGCTCTCACGGTCGAGGCCGCGTAGCGTTTATTGCGACGTAAAACGCCTCATGACGGTATGATCAGAACGGGTATTTCACTTAGAAAGTGAAAAGTTTCTTTGCACGGTGATAAATCAGTCTGGCTCGCGCACGTCGCGATTACGTCCATGGAATTCTAATTAAATTAAATTCTTCGACTATTTCCTAGGTCTAGTAATTCTTTTCGAAATCGTTAATTCTCAGTATGCATTGTGAATCTATTATAAAATCCGTATAGTATTGCTATTTCAATTACGACTTTTGTTAAAGCAGCGGTTTAGTGGTAAAGGTCGTATTTCTTTCATTAGCGCACAAATGTCAGCATAGGTACATAGTTATGTGCGCCATACATGTATACGCTGTTATAAATTTTACATGTGATTGCGAATTAAATATTTGTATAATTAACTTTTTGTAGCGTGTTGCATTTGTATAGCATTGTAACGTCTAAATGACGATATTTTATTTAAAAATATCAGTTGCGGAAAAATATCAATTGTTTAGTTATCTATTATTTTTATTTACGTTTCCGATATTCAAACAAAATGTTTATTTAACTACATCCGTATTAAGCGTTCTACTTACAGACATAACATAACGGTAGATAAACTGTATAAATTGAGTAAAGATATTTCTATCATAAAAAAATAAAAAAATTTTAAATGCCGCGTGTATATAAAATAGATACGTATAAAAATACTTTTGCATACGATTTTAGTATTTTTAATATTTTATTGTTAAAATTAATTTCTGATTGATCTATGTAATGTCAATTATAATTCATTTATGTAATTTATTGATACCAATTTATTTGAAGTAGTAGAAAAGGCGCTGCTAATTGTCACAATAGCTGTCGTAAAGCATTTAGATAACGAAGACGTCGTGTGATATATTTTCTATTGTTCTTTAGAAACTAATGAT